ATTAAACATTGCGAGGATAATTACTTGGTACACTGATTGCCATTATTTTCATTTCTTCTGGATGAAAAAGGCCCTTTCTGAATTGGGATGCGATGTTCTGCCTTATGAAACACTTTTTACTTCTCTGATTTGTTATTTATGGGATCTTCTTGCATCGTGTCTTTATGCGTGAAATCTGAGATATCATTTGGTAAATGTTTAACAGAATCTGATGCTTTAGGATAAAGGCATAAATGTTCTCATATATAGTCTATACTAGCATAAATCCCAAGTACTTAGGATTACAAAGCAAACTAGTACGATCTGCCAGTTATGGCTTGTTGGGCTATGTTGTTTGAACTGCATGACTGAACTTCTTACCTTGCCGTATCAGACAGAAGATTGATTATCCCCTCTCATAATGTTTCCTGCAAAATTGTCCCTCACATTTGGTTGTTAATATACTGGAATCTTTATTCACAGAGTTCAATAGAATCAAGTAAATGATAATTTACAGGAAAAAAAAGAATTCTTTTGCGAAGTTTTATTTAGAGATAATTGGCAATGCTTGTACTAGGATATTTGATTTAAAAAATGTATGACGTGAACAGTGGGAGGTAACAGAGAATTGACCTTTTTCTAGAGTGATCATATGATCGATACATAATATAGATGAACTATGTCATTCTTTATTCTATTTTATTTCTGTTTAAAATAAAATAGATGCACATCTGCTTATTGGCTATTGCAAATCACACCAGTCAAAGATATATCTATGCAGAAGCATTCTGAGAGGTTAAGTTGTCCTTATGTATAATCTCAATAAATTAATCAAATACATCATTGTTGAGCCCTTTGTTTCCTGCTACGACTTTCAAGTTGTTCAGCCTTAGCTTCTGCATAAAACTGTTGAAATGGGTTGTATCTGTAAATCTTTGTGATATTTCTCAAGTTGATTTTTTTCATAAGTTGCTTGGCTATGTTTGATTATAGCTGAATTGGGGTAACTTGCTAATCACCGATGTACCACGACTCAAACTTTTGTCAGATAGATTTTAACAGTGCATAATTTAATTTCGTGGATCTTCCTTATTCCTTAGGCATCTTACTTTATTTTGTAATGAATCCTGATAATGTTAATCTTTATTTTTGGGCTAGGTGTCTCTTACTTCAAATAATGCAGCTAGAAAATGAAAAAATAATTTGTATAAGCTTATCATCTCCAAGATGTAACGATTATGGGCTTGTGGTCATTTAGTTTCCTTTGATTTGGTCTGTGTTTGCACTGGTGAACAATTTTTCCCTGTCACCTTTATGCTTTTCCTTTTTAGCTGGATTGTTGAAGTTGTGAAATTTTTAATGATGCTGAATGTTTTGTTTTATTAAATGGTAATTTGATCTGCTAATATAGTTACCTTTACCTGTAGCTGTCGTTTACTGAAATGTTTAATTATGGCTGTTTCATTTCAGAGGTCATCTCAAATCACCATGGTCTCATAGAAAGAGAAAACATGTCCTTTCACCGCTTCGATGGAGAAGCTTTTTTGCCCCCGATGGAAAGCTTCGTAATGGAGGAGTTAAATTTCTGAAGAAAGTTCGAAGCGGAGTGAGTTCCTGCACCTTGGTATTTTTTGAAAATCGCATTTTCCATGTATTCAGTTATTGGCATATTAGAACTTTTAATGTTTGTTTGGAAGTGTGAAAGGGAAGGAAAGCAAAATGAAGGGAAATGAGAAGTGGGGGTTTTAAAGAGAAAATCATTTTCTTTTCCTTGGTTAAGGTGAAAATAACACTGTTTTCTTTTGTTTGGAGTCCAAAAGAGGAACGGAGTGGTGAACTGGAGTGTAAACTGCTTTGCTTTTCAAAATCTCTGTTGATTTTCTCCTTTCCAAAGAGGAAAGAGAATCTTGTGGGACAAACTGCAGATCATTTTCTCTGTCAAAATCTTTCTCCTCTATTGTCAAATGCAAACCTAACAGCAGAAAACCTTACCATCTTCCTTTTCTTTCTCTTCCCAACTGTCCATGTAAAGGGTTGGTTCGTTTACTGAACTTTGTTTTCTTATGCAGGGAGTTGATCCTAGCATCAGGGCAGAGGTTTGGCCTTTTCTCCTCGGGGTGTAAGTTTCTCCTCTCGTACTAGTTACCATTAGTAAGATTGAAATTTGGTTCATTCCACACACTCCTTCCCCCCTTTCTTCTTTCACTTTAGTGGGCCAATTTAGTTTGCCTTACTTTCCAAGGGAGATGATGGAATTTCATTGTCCAGATTGATGAAATTAAACTTTCTTACATTTCTGTCAATTAATTCGTTTCCATAATGAGTGAGATACTGCAGTTATTCTACTGGATCTTTTAAATGAATCCTCTTATGAACCGGTTTCTATATATTGTAGGGTCCCTGTTTCCTGTTGATCTATTATATTAAAATTGTCTTCTATGGAAGATTATATAAGAGAAACCAAGCTCTGGTCACTAAGTCTGAAAATAAATTCATTCATTGGTGATTTAATGGGTTCTTAATTACTTGTGTCTCTTTAGATCTATGCTGAGAAAGGACAGCTCTATATAGCTTCTGTCATTTATTAACTTGGTGGTGTGATGGGCAGGCAATGTTTTTGTAGGGTCTCTGTTTGTCTAAATACTCTATGTGTCGAAGTTTTATACTGGTGAAGGCTTGGGTCAGGGCTGATAATTGTTCCTTGTGTCTGTGCAGCTATGAATTGGACAGTTCCAAAAAAGAAAGAGACGCTGTAAGAAAAAAGAACAGGTAATGTCTCCAAATACATCTGCTCTACCTCGACAAAGGTGTCATACATGAAAATCTTTTTAATCTCTGCTTTTCAGTTGATAAGTTATAATCACCTTCCATTATTAGTAGTTCCAATTCATTTTTGGACTCCATAGTCATACTCCTTAATGGTGCATAAATATCTGAATGCAGAAAGGAATATGTGATGCTTCGGAGGAAGTGCTGCCAACTACTGAGACACAATAGTGAAACCTTTAAGATGAAAGTGACGGGTGGAATCGGAAACAACGGAGACAGTGGGAATCTCATGGAAGGGATGGATTTCCCCGATTATGAAGATGTCAGTGCCCTGGAATCCCCCTCTAGTGGGGACCGGAGCCCATTTGTTGAGGATTCAGACAGTCACAGCAATTTAATGTTGGATGAATTTTCTAGTTCCAAACGAGCCATGGAGCCAAATGATGTCTCCGACTCTGAGTCGTCAGATTCTGATTCCTCTGTAGATCATGATGTGAATCATAGTTTCCTCTCTATAAGAAGCATGTATGATACAGCCGAATTGCATTCCAAGGTTGACTCGTCTCCTTCAGAGACAGAAGTCCAGAAACAGCCTTGCAATGCAGAAGATTTTGCTACATGGCAACGAATAATTCGGGTTGATGCAGTTCGTGCAAATGAAGAATGGATAGCATATTCCACACCTCAGGCTGGAGTAGTATCAGATGGTCGTGCACGCTGTTCTGCGGAGGCTGTTGGATTGAAGGACTATGATCACCTAGAGCCCTCAAGGATCTTCCATGCTGCTCGGTTAGTTGCCATCCTTGAAGCCTATGCGCTTTATGACCCTGAAATTGGCTATTGCCAGGGAATGAGTGATTTGCTTTCACCAATTATTACTGTGATGACAGAGGACCATGAAGCTTTTTGGTGCTTTGTTGGTTTCATGAGGAAGGCTCGACATAACTTTAGGCTTGATGAGGTTGGAATCAGGAGGCAACTAAATATTATTTCTAAGATTATCAAACATAAGGATTCACATCTCTATAGGCACTTGGAGAAGCTTCAAGCAGAGGATTGTTTTTTTGTGTACAGGATGGTGGTAGTGCTCTTCAGGAGGGAATTGACTTTTGAGCAAACACTCTGCCTATGGGAGGTAATGTGGGCAGACCAGGTCGCTATTAGGGCTGGGATTGGGAAGTCTGCTTGGAGTAGGATTAGGCAGCGTGCTCCACCAACAGATGATCTTTTGCTTTATGCAATTGCAGCATCTGTATTACAGAGGAGGAAACAAATCACTGAGAAGTATAGTAGCATGGATGAAATTTTAAGGGAGTGCAATAACATGGCTGGTCATCTTGATGTATGGAAGCTACTAGATGATGCTCATGATTTGGTGGTCACTCTCCATGACAAGATATAGACACCTTTTGCCTTCCAAAATTTTATACCACTTATTTGTTCTCTTTGCTAAATTCAGCATCAGTGAGTCGGTAAGTTTTTGTGGTGAGGAAGAACTTTCTACCTGACAAGTGAAAACATTGCTGCTGCTGCTCTTTTTGGGTCAGAGATCGGGGTTATCTATAACTCTCAACTCTACCGAGTACAGGCACTGCTATTTGCTCGATTTCAGTGTAGCCATTATTAGAAAGCCTGTGTTCCAGACTGTTCTACCATATGCTCAATATATATCGTTTAAGTTCTCATTTTTAATGCTTATTAGAGTTATAGTTATAGGGTCTATTTAATAGTAGGAAAACTTATTCAGACTGGATATGTTGTACCTATTGACCAACTTGCTTGGGTTCAAGGAGTGGGGTGTTGGGTTGGGAGTCGTGTGGGCAAGCACGAACTGGATCAGTTATATATTAAAGTATCCGATGTTGGTCACGAGAGCCTTAGAATTGTGTATTTACACTGTTTGTGATACTTTTAGCAGTTGGGATGTATAATGGTTGGTGTTTGGTTTTTGACTTTTGAGTGTGCAAAGCAGAAACATTGAAAGCCTTGTACGGTTTGACATTGTTATCCTGTTTGCCTGTAACTTGGATCTGGTGACGGAACAATAAGACCATTACCTTTCTACCAGGGCTGTTACAGTGCCCATTGCCAAAGTGAAGATACATCCAGGGGCAATTCATCTCATAGGGCATGGGCAAAGCTCATTTTTCTAAATTCAACTACTTATAATTCTCACTCAGCTTACGAGTTGATCGGTTAGCTGCAGCTATATTTTCTAGTACAGACTGATGTAGCACAGAAACTACTCAAAATAGAGAAGGCCGTCTGTCAAATGACATAGATATAAACCCAGTGAAGTCTATTGTTAACAACATAGAGGTCATTACGAATGGCAACTGTGAAGCACATACAAACTGATAATCATGGTTCAGCTACTATAGCTCCTATGTAATTCAAATAGAAAGCATTCTGGATATTCGAATTAGATTGTAATGGATTTACTTCTCCTTGGTGTAGTGTCGCACAGCAAAGGCTAAGCCCAAAATCAAGAGGGGCACAAGGATTTGCAAAATTTTGATAACAAATTCTGAAGTCTTGTCTGGATTGTATGGGGCTTGTTCTGGAGGAATGTAAGCACGTTTTAGAGGAACTGTTGACTGATCAATATCTCCAATGTAATATTTATCCATCATCTCCCTAGCAAAACTTCATCACCACCTGGATGATCTTCCATAAATGGAGTCACATCATACACCTGGAGAGCAATTTAATATCAACACATCAATCAATATTTGCATTACACAAGGAGAAAAATAAGGACTTGGATCCTCAAATGGAAGTGATGGAAGATATATGATTTGGTCTTAGGTAACATAGGAAGTATCCAAGAAAAAATCAGATAGTCAGGGGAAGGGTTAAAACATATTTCACGCCGTAAGTAGCTTAAAGAATAATGTTCGTTGTGGAATCCTTTGAGGTACTCCACAGTTGGGCTTTCTTAATCTCCAGCAGTTACAGCTGACTGGCTGGAAATAAAGTCCAAAAATTATATTAGATGTACGTTCTAAAGATTCTTCGTTTTAACAAATCAGATGCATATTAAATTTATGTTGTGAAGATCAATCCCTTTTTGATCAAATGAGATGAAAGGATCCTTGTTTGTATCAGTTTACTCTATGTTTCAAAAAACTGAGTCGCTCATTTCAAAGTCACGAACAGGCAGGGGAAGTCAGAACTAAGATATGTTCGACATAGTTAGCATAACACAAGTCTAATTTACCTTTCCATAAAACACACTCCTAATAGGTTCAGGGCTGTGCCACTCAGACCAAGAGTCACATGACCGACGATGCTTCATGTATCTAGAGATTTTTGAATCAACACAACATTAGAAAAATGTCATCTGCTTGTCTTTTACTACGAAATGCTTATATATGTTTCTGTTTTTTTGCAATAAATTCTTTAATGTGACAAGCCTACTTTCAATATATTGAGATATCACTCACAATTTCCTAAAGAGGTGAAGGGACTATTTCTACTAGATAAGTGGCAACTTCCTAGCACAAGGAGAAGATACAACAAATGTAAATTTTTCGTTAGTTGAACCATTGTATTTTGCTTATAGTATGAAAGTTTATGTAACCTTGGTCAATCTGTACATTGTTTAGTTTATCCTCATTTTTTCTTATCAAAGTTATGGACCATGTCCCCCTATGCTTTTGTAACTTCTTGAATGTTATAGACATGGTAGGGGTTAAGCCTAACCCCCCACACTATTAAGGTGATGGCATAAAATTAAAAAAAAGAAAAGAAAAAGTCAATTTTTTTGGGGTAATATGATATCTACCAACCACTGATGTTCTACACTGCTTAATCAACACCTGCTCTCAGTTCCCAAGAGAGAAATCCAATTTTATGTTACTAAGATAAACCTTCCCAGCATGAGCAACAAAAAAGTTGTCTCCAACTGACGTATAGGTCACAGATTCGAGCCGTGGAACATGAGGTAAGTTGCCTACATCACACTAAAAATAGACAAGGTAAAGTTTAAGAATAGTGAACAGAACAACTAAGCTTGCACAAAAACAAACAATTCAACACCTAGTTAAACAAAAACCATATCAGATCATCAAAGCTATCCCTAGATCACAAACAATTCGATAACTTCAATGAACATTACTTTAACCCCAATTTTTCATCTCAATAAGTTGAATTAATGGGAATAAAAAACAGAACCAATCAAGAAAAACAAGATTCAAACTCATCACGATCTTAGTAGCTCAATTGATTGTCTATCTATCTGAACTTTCACCTCGGTTCAAACTCATTAATCCTAAAAATACATCTGATAAGAAATTACTACTACTACTAAAAGATCTAACCTTTCCACTGATAATAAGCCAACAATCTTTGGTCTTGTTGTGCTTTGCAACCTCCTCAAATAGATGAACTTTATGATCTGACCCCATCTACTGAAAAACCCCAAATAAAGTTACAAACTTTTAACACATAAATAAGCAAATCAAATATAAATGGAATTTGTATACTCACATAACAGGATTTTTAGTCTCTTTGGATTCTCCACAATCAATAAACAATTTTGAGTAATATTTATAGTGGTGGAGAAAAGAAATGCCCTTGAAATTTAATGGAAATTACAATCTTATTTTCACGCCTTGGACTCGAGTGTGCCACACGCGCATCAAATAAATTCTTTGCCGACCGCAGGTAGTTGGGGAGTTTTTTTATAAATAAATGAACTTAAAAACAATGACACCGTTTTTTTTTTAATTACGTCAAAAAGTTTTATATTTTATATTTTTTATTTAAATTCTTATTCTATTCGATGTTTATTATTTATATTGAAGTTTGTCTGAATCTGAATTTATAATCAAAAATTTCGAATCCATTTACTTCCTCCAAATTTGTGTTATTTTTTTAGGAAAAATTACTTCAATGAATACATTTTAATAAATAATTACTAATTTTAGTGATATTTTCCATTTATTACCATTTATAGCAACAAATAACATAATATGATAAATCTGCAATATGTATTAAAAGTAATTATGTATGCAATACATATATTAAACTTGTATTATATGTGTTTTATAAACTATTTTCTGTAATATGAATTAAAGTTGTATTGTTATAAATGGTAAATACTTTATTAATAATGCATATTTATGTAAGTTCCCTTTTTTATACTAAAAAAGACATTTAATGCTCAAAATTTGTTGATTAGGTTTAGGGTGTTTACTAGGGGTAGGGTATATGTTGGAAAAAGGGTTAGAATTTTTTCTCTAATTACTTGGGAGAAAATAAAAGAGAGAAATAACTAATAGTAGAAATATTATTAGAATTTAAAAAAGAATAAAAATTGTTTTTATTGAATTTATTCAAAAGAATTAATAATACAATTACAATTACGAGAGTGTAGATTTATATGATAGCATTCGGAACTTGTGTTGATAAAGGAATTTTTTCTTATTTGGCAACTTGTTTTCAATGATCTATATTTCTTTTTATAGGGTGTAAAAAAAATAAGTCTAATTATAGCTAATTCATCTAATTTATTTAAAATTTTAGGGAAAAAATCCAAAATAATTATATTTTAGCTTTTAGTGGGATTCCTTAGCAACATAATTTCATTTTTTATTTAAAACGTTATTTTTTTTAATTTGTCAAGGGATTAGTTATGTGTTTATTTTATTTTGATTAATTTAAAATACAAATAATTAATATCATAACAGAGAAATCATAGAACAAAAAAATTCAATAAAAAGATTTTAAATACAAATTAATTAACTGAAAAGAGCATTAATAGTCATCTTTCTATCTAGTGTTTTTTTGCTTTTTTCTTAAGAACATTAGTTTGTCTTCCGATAACTTTCAAAGCTTCATCAATTTGAATACGACATATTTTTTATTCGAAATTTTTTAAATTTGACGACTACAAATTTGTCACACGAAATTTTTAAAATTGATGACTATAAATTTTTCGCATCTTGGGAATAATCGAAAAACAATCATGTGTTTTTTTTTTTACTTTCTATTTCTATGGATGAGATATTCATATGAGTACAAGAATATTTTTTTTATTGATTGAATTAGTGAAATCTTTGTATATTATTGTGATTTATAGCCTTTTTTAGATATTTTGGATTCAAATTATGATGTATAGTGAATGAAATTGTTTATTTTAATTTAGTAGCTGTTTTTTCTGTTTGAATGCATATCTCATTAAGTTAATATAACTAATCGATTATGAACTATATGTCGAATACAACAATATATGAATACAAAAGTGAGATGAAAATACAAAGTTGTAAATACAAAATGAAATTAAATATAAAGTTGTGAATACAAAAGAAATATTTTGTTCATTTAAAATAGGGATAATGCACAAGTACCCCCTCAACCTATGCCCGAAATCTCAGAGACACACTTATACTATACTAAGGTCCTATTACAAGTAATTTCCTACCCCTTTTTAGCCTACGTGGCACTAGTTTGAAAAAAAAAAGTCAACCATCGTTGGACCCACAAGATAGTGCCACATAGGTCGAAAAGGGGTAAAAAATTATTAATAAAATAAGTTCAGGGGAGTAATAGGACCTTAGTATAGTATAAGTGTGTCTCTGAGATTTTGGGCATAGGTTGAGGGGGTACTTGGGCATTATCCCTTTAAAATACAAAGTGACTTTGAAGGTAAAATACAAATAAATCAATCATGAACTATATGTTGAATACAACAATATATGAAAATTAAAGTGAGATGAAAATACAAAGTTATAAATATAAAATGAGATTGAATATAAAATTATGATTACAAAAGAAATACTCTCTTCATTTAAATTACAAATGACTTTGAAAGGTAAAGTACGCACATAAATACAAAACTTGTCGGTATACAATTAGGTTGAATACAAAACAAAAGAGAAATAAAAAACTTGTTCACATATAAATTGAGATTGAAATACAAAATGAATACCCAATAAAATTGTCACGGACCCAAATCGGGCTGCGACTGGCACCCACACTTACCCTCCTATGTGAGCGAACCAACCAATCTAAACCTTAACATTTCAATATAATATCAACAGAAAGTAATGCGGAAGACTTAAACTCATTAATAAAAACCAATTCAATAACTTCTAAAAACTCAACAACTATTATTATCCCCAAAATCTGGAAGTCATCATCACAAGAACATCTACTTCAAATTACTAAAGCTACGAGTATCTAGAAGCTAAAATACATAAAAAGCTAGTCCATGCCGGAACTTCAAGGCATCAAGACATGAAGAGGAAGATCCAGTCCAAGCTAGAAGCATTAGCTCACCCTGAAATCCGGAGTAATGAAGACTGGCTAGAGTTGCGGTTGAGTTGAAGACGATGGTATGTTTGCTGCACTCCACAAATAATCAAAAAGAAAACATACAAGTAGGGGTCAGTACAAAACACAGGTACTGAGTAGATATCATCGGCCAACTCGAAATAGAAAACAGTATATATCAGATAATATCATAAAATCAACTAAAATACTCAACATGCGGCATTTACAATTACCATAACCCTTGGTCATAACACCAAGCTCATCAACGAGGACTCACGCCTCCTCATCATACTCATTTGGGAATTAGGTTCATTAGATTGAGTATATTAACATCTTTCAAGATTCATTATCTTTATTCCTCTCGTGTCGGTACGTGACACTCCGCTCCTCATATACTATCCTGGTGTCGGAACGTGACACTCCGATCCTCATATACTATCCTGGTACCGGAACGTGGCACCCGATCCATATACTATCCTGGTGTCGGAACGTGACACTCCGATCCTCATTCTATCCTGGTGTTGAAACGTGACACCCGATCCATATTCTATCCTGGTACCGAAACGTGGCACCCGATCCATATTCTATCTTGGTACCGGAATGTGGCACCCGATCCATATACTATCCTGGTACCGGAACGTGGCACCCGATCCATATACTATCCTGTGTCGGAACGTGACACCCGATCCATATTCTATCTTGGTACCGGAACGTGGCACCCGATCCATATACTATCCTGGTATCGGAACGTGGCACCCGATCCCCTAATCTCACTACTTTTGTTCATCAAGCCTTCTTTTATACCAATGCATCATCATTAACAAAGTAGATTAGGATTTCTTTTTCAAGATTTAGGATTCAATAGCTTCATCATGCTTATTTTATCACAATTATATAATCACATTCATGCAAGCATACAATTAAGCATATAGAAGGGTTTACAACACTACCCAATACATATCATTCGCTATTAAGAGTTTACTACGAATAGCATAAAAACCATAACCTACCTCCACCGAAGGTTCGTGATCAAGCAAGCAATTTCCTCAAAGATCTTTGCTTTCCTCTTCGTTTCTCCCTCTCTCTCTCTCTTTGTTCTTTCTATTTTCTTTTATTCAAACCCTCTTTCTTTTACCCTAATTAGCATATAATTAAGAATAAAAGATGGCAATAATAACCCACTAATTTACTCAAGGTTATCTCTTTTATCCCCCAAGTAATTAGACTTATTAACATTAACCCCATAACTTTATAATTAAAGACGGAATAGTCCAAAACGCCCCTTAAATTACTTAACAGAAATTCGACCCAGTTTGAGATTACGCAGCCTGTGACGGGCCGTCGTGCCTGCGACGATCCGTTCTGCTGCTCCATCACAGAGTTCAGAGACTCAATTATCTGAAGAGTCTGTGACGGTCCGTCACGCCTGTGACGGTCTGTCCTGCTATTCCGTTACGAAGTTTAGAGAGTCGATTTCAGTACCCATTTTTCATAATTTCTAAGTGTTTTGAAACGAGACCCCTCGACGATCCGTTGTGCTCATGACGGTCCGTCGTGAGTTCCGTCGTCTCAGCCTGTTTTTCCAGAAATAAAATCTGCCGCTCAAAACGACTAAACAGGTCATTACAAAAATACAAAATTGTTAGCATGAGGCTAGAACAAATAAAAATTAAGAAAGAAAAACAAACATGTTGATATATTGATTGAGATTAGATACAATGTAAAAGCAAAAAATGTAAAACTTTTTGATATATAGATAGAATGAATACACAAATAAACAGTTGATTCAGACATTGTAGACAGACAAATATAAATGTACTAAAAATCAAACAAAATAAACATATGAATGGATTTGTATATTCTAATAAATCTGAAATATTAAAATGAAATCAGAAAAAAATTAAAATAAATATCTAATTGACTAAAAATCTAAGATACATAAATATTAGATGAATATGTAGATAAACTTGCAAAAAAATAGAAAAAAATGATAAAAAATCTGTAATATGTATAATGCGAAATATAAATCATAAACATTGATATTGAAATTCATAATATGTAGAATCTGGAATATACACTATAATCGATGATTTTAAAAATCAAATCAAAATAAATAGTGGAATTACCTTGCCAATCGATAAATCCACTTGAATTAATATAGATATTTCGTTTAACAATAGAGAAAATTTCTTAAATTAACATATATATTTTGGTGAACAATTTGTGAGCATCTTGAAGAAAGAGAATCTGAAAACATGAAAAAAGGATAGAAACGTGAAAGGTGACAAAGGAAGGTTAATGGATATCGATAACTCATTAGTTTAGAATTTGGTCTAATATAGGTCTATTTTCATACATAAAATTAATTTTAA